GGTGGCAGGTGGCTGGTGGTGGTGATGGCTAGGTGTGGATGTAGGCAGTGGGTGATGAGTGGTGGGCAAGTAGGTGGCCGGTGGTGGTGCGCGGTAGATGGTAGTGGCGGGTGGATGGCAGGTGGATGGTGGGGTGGTGGTGGCGAGAGGTGGTGGTGGTGGCGAGTGGGTGCAGGTGGGTGGTGACTGGTAGTGGCGGGTGGTGGCGAGATGGGTGGTGGTGGTGTGGCAGGTGGTGGTGGGGGTAGGTGGTGGTAGGCGGAAGACGGTGGTGAAAATGGTGGCGGATGGTGGCTAGTGTTGGGTTGTAAAAAAAAACTCAAAACTCAAAACGGAAACACATTTTTGTGTTTTCATTTTTAGCCAAATTTATAACTGAGACCCATCTGATTTTATAAATAAAAATTTTACCAAACAAGTTTTATTTAAGTTTTTAAAATTTTGTAAAATATAAATAGAAAACTGAAAACGTAAGTATTACCAAACGACACCTTAGTATTACTCAATTAAAAATATACCTTGTGAAGCTTACTTAAAAATAAAATAAATAAACTATTAATTGACTTAATAGTGAATTAATGAAAGAATTATTTATATTAACGCTTATAAATTTTTTCCCATATCACTTAGGGGTGAGCATGATCCGGATTGGATCGAATTGGGGTAAAATCAAGACCAATCCGTTATTTACGGTTCTGAAATTAGAACCAATTTAATCCATTTAAATCATGGAACCAATCAACCAATCCATTTAAATACGGATTGGATCGGTTTAGGATACATGGATTCACATAATTAAATAATAATATATATATATATATAACACTTTAATTTATCATAAAATATAACATAACGCTATATTAGTTCTATATAGTAAATATGTTTTTCTATAATAGTACATACTGTTCTAGAATTTAAACAACCATAAGAAAACTGTTTTCACCATAAGTATTTAAACATTACAAATTAAAATTAAAAGCTAACAAACAAAAGTTATAAAAGAATGATATTATACAGTTTTAGGTTGTGAGTTTAGATTTTATATGAATAAGAGAAGATATTATGAAGAGGATGTATAATAAAAAATATAGACTTATTTGTATACGGTCTGGTATCGGTTCCAATCCGGAACGTGGGGTTCAATCCGGAACCAATCCGTGGACTACGAATTTTTAATTTTTCAATCCGGAACCGAACCGCAAATTCAAAAAATCAATCCAAACTATCAGATTGGACTGGACTGGATCGAATTACGGATTTCACGGATTCCTTGCTTGGCCCTAATATCACTTGCGTGTCAAAAATATATACTTGAGTCATTTGCTAAAAACAAGGTCGGGCAATGCGGGCCACTAAACCGGGCCACAAATGAGAAGGCCCAAAATTTTTATAATATCTTCATATGTTTTTTCGCCTTACCAGGCCCACAAATAATAACACTAGATGTAAGTAAGGGGAATGTTGAAACGCTCGTTCAACAAATATTTAGAAACGAGCATTGATTGCACTTGCATCAAAAAGAAATGCATTGATTGCTACTTATTTTTTACCAAAAAAAATTTATTACTATAATCTATAATCGGTGCAAAGAAATAAGAGTTAATGCTAGGGAACTGTACGGGGAGGAAATAATTCTCCTCGTATAATCCTGTTGACCAGTCCACGCTCCTCCGTACGACGTCGCTTTGTTACCTGAAAACACAAATGTGAGCTAGCCGGCGGGTGTGTGCCGGAAACTCTCCGATGCCTAAGTCAGTAAGTTTGACAAATAGACAAAGCTCTATGTTCTCAGAAAGAATTGTGTTCAATTACCTCCTCCAAGGTGATGCTTGTGAGCTTTTATAAGTTTCAACGGGCACAATCCTAGTAGGACTTGTATTTCTCCATGCAGAGTCCTCCTAGGATTCATTCTCCAAAGATAATGCTTATCTCTTTTACACCCTCCCCCACTGCTTAAACCAAGTGGGATGGTTTTCTTTATGGCCGAACTTCCATTCGACCGAAGTAAGAATGGCTATGCCGAGCCACAAGTAGGCCATACTGAAGTAGTTCGGTTCTTCTTCATGTTACACCATATCTTGGTTTTTCTCTACATGAACCGTGGTGTGTTGGACCGAACTACTGAGTAACAACATTACACCGACCTATCCGAATTCAATCATGACCGGACTACCTTTTGAGACCGGACTAACTCAAGTTGTCAAAACCGAAGCAGCTTTACATTCCTTTAGCCGAAGTAAGTCAATCATCTCCGAGAGCCGGAGTAATCTATCGTTCTTGAGCGGAGTCACTTCACAGCTCGGGCCGGAGTGACTTTTATCTCTTTTGGGCCGCAGTACATTCGGCCTTTTACCAGTCCTTGGATTTTGGGCCTCAAGTCCATCTCAGCTGGCCCAATTTTCCAAAAATTACCCTCTCAATTGCCCCTTAATTCCATCTGCATGGCATGATTGGGATTATCAGTCTATCAACCGAGCTGGCGTCGTTTTAAGCTTTTCCAGCCGAGCAAATACTTTATCCTCTCCAGCCGAGCTAAAAACTCTCGAGCTTTTAAGCCGAGCTAATTTCACCCGGGCCCTATTTTGTCCGGTCAAAAACGTCTCTTCAATCATAGTGTCTGTAACGCTTCCCATTCTTATGACACGTGGCATGTTTTGGTTGGCTAAGGACGGCTGTCACGCCGTCTTCGTGCTTCGTGATTTTGAAACAGTTCCCGCTTTTTTTCTTTCCTTATCCTCTCTCATATTTCACAAAAACACCCATTCCTTTCTGAATCATTCACCTGATTCATATACCCTACCTCTCTCTCTGCCTTCATTTCTTTTGCTTCCAAATCTGTGCTTTTCATCGCTGCTACTGCTCCATCTTCAGTTTCTTGTTCTCCAATCTGGTAAGTAAGCCTACCCTTCTTGCTTTTTTTTGTTTGTTTCACCATCCGTTTCTGTTTTGTATGCTTTTGCAATTTTTCTCCATTTGTCTGCTTTGCTTTTGTACTTTTATGAAGAAACCAGTAGAACCCCATGTATGTATATGAACTATTATGTAGAAAACCAGCCTTAGATCCAAAATCACATAGCAACCGGACTAGGATACTGTTTGTTTATGTATGTAGATAGATTCAGAAATAACCGAACTAGAACTTGTAGGAATATCAGTAGTTTTTCTGCCTAGCCACTCTAGCCAAGATAAGATCACCGAACAAAGCTTGCACATACCGAACTAGGTACTTCGGTCTATAACCGAGCTAAGCTTTTGGGGCCAAGCCGGCTTTCTTAGTTTCTTAAACCGAACTCAGAAAGCCGCCCCTAGGGCTCAACCGAAGTAACTTCCTCACACTTCAACCGATTTAGGCCTTGGGACTAAACCAGCTTTCTTAGTTTTTTAGACCGAACTCAGAAAGCTGCCCCTAGACGTTAAACCGGTTCTATCGAGTAAACTGCTCAAACCGAGCTACCTGACCTCCTGATGAAAGAACCAGTTCTTTGAGGCCGAAGTAGGGCTTTTATACCTTGCTTGTAAATTGTAGCACGGTCCATTGATCAGTGCTTTAACCCCTCTGTTTTTTACTTTGCAGACTTAGGTTACCCAGGCACTCCTGTGTGCGCTCAACCGAGCTTCTGAGCACGATTATTGCACCGAAATAACTTATTTTTAAATTATACAACAAATGGGTAAGTATAGGTATTAGTTGAGACCCCTGGTGGGATGGCCGAATTCAGGAAGGACTATGATATACCGGATGACGTTCATTTGACTTTAGCAAAAAAGACGTCATCCATGGGACAACGAGGGTTTCGTTCCTTTTACTCTACAATCCATAATAGAGACCGGACTACGGTTTCCTGTAACAGCCGTTGATCTGGCGATTCCTTAGGCAAACTAGGCTATGCCCCACCCAACTATCCACCAATACATACCGTTTTATTATGGGAATAGCCGCACTGAACCACCAAACCGGTTTAAACCTTGGCCTTGCCGAAATATTCCATCAATATTCCATCGGCTCGAAAGATGCTGGATGGGTCTATTACCTTAGGATCCGCCGCCGCCGAGAGAAGATAATTAAGCATACACCGGACAAGACCTTAATGATGATGACTTCTTCTGGGTCTCTGGGAATTTTGAGGTTTTCAAGCCCAAATTCCTGGCCGACCTATAAATTGGAAGAAGGGAGAGCCTGGTAATTTAACTTCGGTTTTCTTCCTTGTATTTTATTTTGGTTTTTGTTAGCCTATTAGCCGAATTAACACTTCTCTTTTTGTGCAGATTTCGCCCATCTTCATTCCTTATTAGTTATCCAAACTTGCAATTTTGCGAGCCGCACTACGGATTAAAGAAAGAAGTTGGGCAAAGCTTCTGAACTTTGAGCCGACCTACCGTACAGCGTCGCCGAAAAGCAAGAGTAACTGACTTTCTCCTTGAAGAAGCCCAGAGCCGGACCCAACTTTGCCCGAATAAGACTTGTCCCACTAACCGCTGAAGAGGAGATGGCGAAGAGGAGCAGAGTTAGGGCCTTCTCACCGAAACAACTAGGCCCGAAGTAACGTCACCAAGCCAAACGCAGCCTGCCGTTGTGGCCCTCCCCTCTCAACAACCGTCTTCATCGCGCGCCGAACTAAGCGCGCCCGAACCAGCGAGTCCGAACCAAGTTTGGTTGATGAAGATGAGACTATTACTCCACCAATCTTGCCACCGAGCCCCCAACCGGAACCTACCAACCGAACTACCACCCGTTGGGTACCAAAATTGACTTTTAAAAACCGGATGTCGAGGATGCTGATTCGGTTGTCGCCGAAAAAGATCACGAGTTGGCCTTTAATCTGGCTAAGGGAGTGTGCCTCCCCAAGGATATGGAGCACCACAGAAAGCAGCTAACACCGAATTAAAGTCCATTCGGTCTGCAACGAAGTCCATGATCCTGGTATGCCGCTCTGTCCATTTTTCTGTCCAATTTTGTAAACTTTTATCTCGGCTTATGGAAAGTCCTCGTTTTTTGCCAGGCAATTCAAAAGAACTACAATACTCACAAGAAGGTGCTGGAACTCAGACAAACTGCAAGGGATGCTGTTGCAGAAGCCGAAGTGAAGTCGGCCGAAGTAGAAAAAATCAAGAAGCAAATGGCCGAGCTTCAAGCTGAGAACAGCAGGCTGACCGGACTGGTTAGTTCGGCTGAGGCAGAAAGGCAGAAGACTGCCATAGCTCTTAAGGACAAATACCTGCACGAGCTGGTGAAGCTCGAAAGAAAGAAGGATGCCGAAATAAAGGAGAAGGTAAAGGAAGCTGACAAACAAGGCTTCAAGAGGGCAGAGGATGCTTATGCCCAACAATGCAATGCTGCCAAGGAGCTGTTCTTTAAGTGCGGCTGGAGGGGGGCCGTTGAGAAGCTCGGTCATGATCCTCAGACCGAGGTTTTCAACCCTCCAACCTACTTAATACCGAACTCCCTGATGGAATATGCCAAGCCATGCAACAGCAGTTCCTTGAGGGCTCAGACGATGAAGATTCTGATGATGACACTGCCCCTGAGGATACTTCGGTTGTGAATGCAGATCAGGTAGTTCGGTCGGAGCCCATGGTGGAAGATCATACTATTGATCAACCAAGTGAAACCGTGGCTCCGGCCGAAACCATTCTTCCTTCTGAAAACGTCCTTGCGCCGAAACCGGTCTTCAGGTTGACGCCGATGCTGCCTTCGATGCCGAGATCGAAGATCTTTTTTCTTGACTTTGTACTTTTTTCTCTATTTTTTGTTACCTTGTCTTTGTAACCGGGCTGTGCCCTCTGTAATGACTTTTTAGTGAATGAAAAAATTTGCTTCAACTCTTATTCCGGTTGTGATATGTATGCCTGTATTTTGTACGTCTTCTATACTTCCATTGTTATTTCGGTTTCGGCTGGCTAAAATATGCTTACTAGCCAACCACTCCTTAGCCGATATAATCACTTCGGCTGAGGAGTACAAAGTGTTGGTTTATTCCAGCCAACTACTCTTCAGCCATACCTTACTTCGGCTGAAGAGTAGCAAGAGTTGGTATATTCCAGCCAACCACTCTTCAGCCATACACTTACTTCGGCTGAAGAGTAACAAGTGTTGGTTTATTCCAGCCAACCACTCTTCAGCCATACACTTACTTCGGCTGAAGAGTAACAAGTGTTGGTTTATTCCAGCCAACCACTCTTCAGCCATACCCTTACTTCGGCTGAAGAGTAACAAGTGTTGGTTTATTCCAGCCAACTTAATATTGGTTATTCCGACAAAAATGTCCTGCAGCCTGGATCCTTATCCTGGGCTTAGGAAGGGTGTTGGTTTAATCCAGCCAACCTCTGAGTTAGTTTTTCCAGCTAACTTAGAATAGAATGCTTGCAAATAATTTGTGCTAAAAAGAATTTCTCATTTTATTGAAGGAAGAGAAAAGTACATATGTTTGAAAAAGAAAGCTAAAAGTAAAATAACTTGAGATTGGCCGTATTCCATGGCCTAGGGATTGCCTTGCCATCCTTGTCTTCTAGGTGGTATGCCCTTTGCCTGCTAACCCAACCACCTTATAAGGACCTTCCCAATTTGGGCCTAACTTGCCGTCTCCTGGGATCAAGGTATTTCCCATTACTTTGCGTAGTACCCAATCCCCAATCTTGAATTGTCTTGGATATACCTTTTTGCTGTATTTTCTGATTAACTCTCGTTGGTATGAGGCGATGTGGACTAATGCTCTTTCTCTTCTTTCTTCTGCAAGGTTGAGTTCTAAGGCTATGGCTTCTCCATTTAAGTCTGGATCAAAATTTTCGCTTCGAATTGTGGGAGGCCAACTTTTAGTGGGATCACTGCTTCCATTCCATAAGCTAAGGAGAATGGTGTTTCTCCGGTTGATCGCCGGGCATGGTGCGGTAGGCCCATAAGACGTGAGGAAGTTCATCTGCCCACTTGCCTTTTGCTCTCTCTAGCCTTTTCTTTAGTCCATCCAAGACGACTTTATTTGATGCTTCAGCCTGCCCATTTGCTTGAGGATATGCTGGTGTGGAGTTGTAGAACTCTATCTTGTATTCTTCACAAAAGCTTCTAAAGATTCTGCCGCGAACTGAGTTCCATTGTCTGAGATCAGTGCTTTTGGTATGCCAAACCGAGTGATAATATTCTGCCAAACAAACTTCTTCACATCTTTTTCTTTGATTGACGCCAATGCTTCTGCTTCCACCTC